AGTATTACAGGTGTGAGCCACTGCGCCCGGACCAGGAACAGTTTTTATATTTTATTTTCACATGGAAAATCAGATTTGCTGCAGCCTCAAAACCATGTTTATGTAAAGACAGCAAGTTGCACTTTTTTCTAAATGAGAAATGGGTTAAAGAATCTATACTTTTTGGAAGATGCATATTGGTCTATTTATGAATTTCTGATTGTTCATCTGAGTTAATTTGGGGCTGTTTGAAATAGCACTATCGTGAATGAACATCCTTGCACATAAATCCTGGTACACACCTTTCGTTTCCTTGGGAAACAGATGGGTGCCATGATAAGAACACCTTCCAGGTGGTGTGTGTTCCACCCGTGTGTAGCGGGCTCTGCGTTGTTTCCTCACGGCTTGCCTGGAGCAGAGCTGGAGTTCAGGTGCTATTTCAGTCACTTGTTGACCTCCACCCTGGCTGCGCATTCGAATTACGAAAAGAGGATTTTCAAAGGCCTGATGGCTGGTCTGTGATAAAGGCTTCCAGAAGGAGAGCCCCTGGTAGGATGGATAAGGCAGCAGGTCTTAAGTCAGACAGTCCTAGAATCATGTGAACTCTGGGACTCACTCAATGGGTAATTGGGCGTATTTTTTAACCTCGAGACCTGGTTTTCTTATCAGTGAAAGGAGCATAATGGCTGTAAGGTGATGCAGTTGAGAGCATCGAGAGAGAGGACGCAAGCTGCCGAGCCAAATTTCTAGTGCTCAGTAAGTGGTTGGTACTCACTATTCCTCAAATACAACAGAAAAAGCCAACAAATGAAAAAGAACCTAACAAATCATGGTGCAAGCTACGCATCTACTCAAATAACTTTTCATGGCTAATGAAAATCTTGAGTTTCTAGCTGTTGGACTGAATTATATTGGTGTAATATCTCTGCTTATCTCTTATTACTCAGAATTCCTCACTGGCAGTTATATAAGACTTTGATTAGTATAATGGGGAAAACATTAATTGTGACCTTCTTGAAAGACCAAAAACCTTCAGAAATGAAATCTATGAGGAAAGGAATTCCAAAACAGTAGAAAGAATGCATAATTAGAAATATCTTGAGAACTGTTGAACTGAAGTTTTCCTTCTTTATAGTTGAGAAATATATGGAGTATATATATATATATATATATTTTGTTTTGTTTTGTTTTGTTTTTCCTTTTTTGAGACAGAGTCTCGCTCTGTCGCCTAGGCTGGAATACAGTGGCACGATCTCGGCTCGCTGGAACCTCCGCCTCCTGGGTTCACGTGATTTTCCTGCCTCAGCCTCCCGGGTACCTGGGATTACAGGCACAAGCCACCACAAGTGGCTAATTTTTGTATTTTTAGTAAAGACAAGGTGTCACCATATTGGAGTTTTTTTCTTTTTTTATTTGACAAGCATATGGAGTATGCTAGCTCTGCAGTGATTATTGAGATATGTATTTTTATGTAGAACTGTATAAAACTTTGCCTAATTTTTCCATTGCATACCTGTGGGTGCTGCCTGTTCTGGTACTTATTTTGTCCAACCATGTGCTTCGGTCTTTAATCACAGAAGTCCTATTTGGTGGATGGGAACTCAGCATATAAAAGTCTTCCCAGCTTTGACAAATGGACAGGTTGGCTTATAACCCTCTAATGATCTGAACAGCATTGGAGCAAGGAGGAGAAATGTGAACAGCCAAAGAGGCAGATTCCTTCCTACTTCGTAGCCTAATAAGGAAGGACATTTTCCTGTTTTAATTGAAACTACAAGTAACCTGTTTTCATGTAAGATGAAATAACATAGAAGGTAAGAGCAGAGCTCCTGGAGCCAGGCTGCTTGAGTTCAAATTCCAGCCCTGTTTCTTAGTAGCTGTTTGGCTATGGGAAAGTTCTTTAGCCCCCCGCCTCAGTTTCCCCATCCGTAGAACAGAGATAATTGTACATATAGGATTTTTGTGAGAACTAAATGAGTGAACATGTCCTTAAGCTGGTACCGGGTACATGGTGAGCACTATATGAGTGATTGCTGTCATTACTTCTTCAAGGTGTTAATCACTGAATTTGCAACTTTAGGTAGAAATCTGAAATTATTTAATCTAAACACATTCTTCTGAAGACAGATGAACTTAGGCAATGTGGGATGGTTAAGAACAAATGGTGGCTGGGCGTGGTGGCTCAAACCTGTAATCCCAGCACTTTGGGAGGCTGAGTTGGGCAGATCACCTGAGGTCGGGACTAAGATTAGCTGAGTGTGGTGGCAGGCACTTGTAATCCCAACTACTTGGGAAGCTGAGGCAGGAGAATCGCTTGAACCTGGAGGAGGAGATTGCAGTGAGCCAAGATCGTGTCACTGCACTCCAGCCTAGGCAACTGAATGAGACTCCATCTCAAAAAAAAAAGGAAAAAGAAAAGAACAAATGGTACAGCTGTTTAGAGCCAGACCAAGTGGCCAGGGCTCTAACTAGCTATGAAGTGTGACTAGTATTCCTCCCACACCACGTGGCCTCCCTATATGTGGTAGCTGCGCCATGGTGGAAACGTACTGGACCAAGAACAATGCATAACCTTCTTCTACCTCCTATCTCAGAAACGCACCTGAGTGTTCCAGAATCTCCTCCAAGGTGATTCTGCAGAGCTCTGGGCCTCTTTAGTCTCTGGAAGGAGCTGGGGTGTCAGAATGCTATACATACCCAGAGAGCACCATGAACCGTCCTGCTGTGCCTGAAACTTACAGTCCATTAGCACCCCAAAAAAAGCAGCTGCAGATCTAGGACACACACTCGCAGAGGTAGAATTTCCATACTCTTTACAGCCAGGGAAGCAAGTATGGTAATTCCAGAGTATGTCAGTTTTACCCAAAGAGAAAAATCAAATGGGAAATTAGTGACAAACCAGTGGCCTGCAGTATAGATAAGGAGAAAACACAGGTGCGCCATTATTTCCTTAAGAAAATTCTCACTGACTCCGGGGAGGATAACTTTAGTAAAGAAACAATGCATGTTTTGTTTTTGTTTTCCCCAGTTGAAAGTCGGTGAAAGGAAAGACATGATGTTGGATAAATATGTGTATGTGTGTCTCTAAATATATGGGCTCTGGGTTCACAGAGACCTAGCTTTAAATTATGACTATTACTTTAAAAATAGTGACCTTGAGTAGGTAATTTAATCTTTCTAATCTATAAACTGTGAGCCTTAATTGTACTGACCTCAACGGGCTCATCAAGGATTTCTGGATGCCTAGTGCATAGTAGGCACTCACTGAGTCCCTATTCCCACCACCTAACCTCTATGCGGAGAGGTAAGACTAGAGATAACTGTTAGTGCTTTTGCATATGTATGGAATCTACTGTGTGAAAGGAAAATAAATACTCGGGACCCCAATTCACCATGCTATGTTTTAGAAAAAAATAAGCCAAAAGCTGGGTCATGCGAGAAGCTGCCTTTCCTTTTGTGCCTAAACAGAGTACTACAGATGAAAGGTCAAATAGCTCCAGAGGTAGCTACTCTATGTTCACCGTATCTTATGTAAAGTGCTGATTTACTGATCTCAACATGAACACATCAGTGGCAGTTCCCCTGCCTGCTCCCTTGCTCTTGCAACATGTGGATTGTTATACCCTCCCTCTTTTCCCTCCAGCCCACTTTCCTTTTTTAAATATTGAGGCCCTCAAATTCATCTTTGGAGAAAGGCGAAGACCATAGACAGTTTCTGTGACTCCGTGTTATTTTCTTCTGGGCGTGCCCTTCATCTAGGCAAAATAAACTTCTAAGTTGATTGATGCCTGCATCAGATACTTTTTGGCTTATTACTGTCTCTAGAGTAGAGTTACCAACGGTGCACGCTGATACTATGGAGGACTTGCATGTGCCAGGTGCTATTGACTCATCTAATCCACATAACTTCAGGAAACGGGGCATTATAACTTCATTTTACATGAGGAGATTATGGCACATAGAGTTCCTGGAACAGATCTGAGGTCACACAGATACTAAACACCATACCCAGGATTCCTGGGACCAGAGAGACTGTGCTGAGCTTCTCCATCACGCTGCCTCTTTGATGTTAGCTCTCCTGGGGGTATCGTGAGGATCAGGAAACACAGTGTCTGCGAAACACTCTAGAGCTGAGCTCACATGGTACGCGTCACAGGAGATGGTGTCCTGTTGCCACTGGAATGTCCTAAACCAACTTAATCTGGTGACTCTGGTGACATTTAAAACAGAAGCCACATGGGCTCCTTCATTCGGTTATGATTCCTCTTAGAAGGTGTCATAGACACTAGCTCAGGGAAAGAAATAGAAATGGGATGTGGGACCATTCTTACAACCAACACAGAATTCCATAGCCCAATTGCCATGAGGTTTCTTACCTTGGATTTTCAATTCGATATCATCCAATTAAAATACACATGGACAAAAGTCAACTTTTCATTGTTTTAAATTTATTTTGCCTATTAGGAAAAATACACCACGTAATTCAACTAGCAAAGAAGGCTGCTTCAGGACATGTAAAATGAAAGGCTTCCAGGCAGTTATCTGATTAAATAACACTAAGGGAGGGACAAGGCTAGAAGCTGCGGACTGTCTACACCATGGCAGTGGCTATTTGGGTTGGCTGGAGGAGCTGTGGAGACTATGGAGAGAGTGGTGCTGGGGACCGCCATGGCTGTTCCTCATTGTCATCACAGAGTGAGGTTTTCCGTGTGCCCACTGGTTTGAAAACCATTTTACAACAATGATAGAATAGTACACACATGAGAACTGAAATAGCCCAAACCCGGAAAGAAAGCCCAACTAGATCCTCAGAAGACACTTCTAGGCACAATAGCCGATGAGGAAAAGATGGCGTCCTTGTGCCACCGTCTGTTACGATCTCTCTCCATTGCAGCAGACAGCCGTTCTTCTAAGCAGACAGACGGCGATGATGGCAAAATAGACCTCACTCTTGACGAGCAGGAGGAGGTACATGTAATATGCAGAGGTGTTTGTGAGCTGCAGCAGTTGTGCATCTAAGAGAAATTTCACATGTTCTTTTTACAGAATAAGACATATTAATGGGAGAGGGGTTCACAAATACTTATTTCTGACGATTTACGTTGAAGTGATATTCTACCACCACCAAAACCTAAAAGTAAACATCTACTGCTACCACCACCACCAAGAGTCAGACAAGTCAGAATTCAGCTTTCAAGTTGATTAACAACCTCTGCTAAATTCACGTAGAACATTCCAAGCTATTAAAAAGTAAGGTTGCTTTGTAGGAAAGCAAAGAAAGTGGTTAATCCAGATTCGCTGATGTGTTAGGTAGTTGTGGCACACCCACCTGTCTTTCCTAAATGTCTCTGATTATGGCTATGCTATTATTGGGTGATTGCATTTCATATCATTTGAAGCTTTGCAAGAGATATGTGCTGTCAAGGAATAACTAAAGACAGTGATGGTGGACAGCAGTGGCTACTCAATGAGCTACAAGACTGAGTCTCTTCCTGCGGAAATTTCCATTTACATGTTTTGTCTTCATCAAGTGAGAACTCCAGAAACATCAGTCCTTGGTGTGGAAAAGGATCTCAAGAAGTGATGTGTTCGTAACTCCCTGCCCTTGGTCAAGTGAGATGTTACTGCCCCTCCTTGCCTGGTGTGGCAGCTTAAGTCAGAGCCCCTTGGTATTGGAAATAAAGGAAAGTTGAGCAGGGCTAGCGCCAATGCTTCTGGTCACATTCTTTGTGTATATGTAGAGAGAAAAGGCCAGAAACAAGTACTCATTCTGTGTCTGATAAATGAGATACCCTATGCCAGACATCTCACATTCATGTCCTTATCTCTTCAATAACTGTAAATCAGGTGTAATTATTCGTAGTTAGGTGATGAGAAAAATGTTACTCACAAAATGTAGGTCACTTACATCTAATCATTAAAAGAGCTGGAGTGAAATTTCACTCTGCAAAGCCCATGTCCTTTTTGTTTCAGGTCCCTGGCTTTGTAATTTCTTGCTATCTGACTCTACTGTAGAAAAAGAATAGAAAGCTTAGTAACTGCATGAACTCTTCGTTTGATGTCCTGATTTGAAATCCCAGGCCTAGCTGTGTGACATGTATAAGGGATTTTTATAATTATTTACTTTAAAGGGACTATAAAATGGGAGAAAAAAATATTGTACCACTTTATAGGAATATTAAGAGGATTAAACTAGAAAACGCAGAACAAGCCCTTCTGTGTAAAAAGCACTTGATAAACACTAGTTTGTGTTATTAGCTACTAGCAAAGACAAAAGACTAAAACAAAACTACTGGAGAAGCAACATGGTATCATGTTTCCCCCAGTCATTAAAACAAAAGACACGAAGCCGGGCACAGTGGCTCACACCTGTAATCCCAGCACCTTGGGAGGGTCGAGAGGGCATATCACGAGGTCAGGAATTCGAGACCATCCTGGCCAACATGGTGAAACCCCGTCTCCATTAAAAATAAAAAATTAGCCAGGCATGGTGGTGTGCACCTGTAGTCCCATCTACTCGAGAAGCATGGCTGGAGAATTGCTTGAACCCAGAAGACAGAGGTTATGGTGAGCCGAGATCGTGCCACTGCACTCCAGCCTGGGCAACAGAGCAAGACCCCATCTCAATACAAACAAACAAACAAAAAGACACATGGATGAATAAAGTCTGTTTTTTTGAAATAACTTTTGAAATAACTGAAAGCGTATCACTCTAATTTATAGTCATCTCATACCTGAAGCAGTAGTTAGGTTTGTTAATACAACTCCTAGAAAAGGAGGGACTAATTTAAAATATCACTAGGTCCATTCTGCAGCATCCAACCTAGCAAAATCTATTCTCTGATTTTTGAAACTAGAGAAGTTCAAAGGTTAAAATGATCAGGAGGAAATAAAAAACACAAAAACTTACCATTTGCATCTTCTGAATAATTGTCTTTGGGATCCACTGTGGTGTCATCTAGAAGAATGAGAGCAAGTACTAGTCAATTGTTCATGCCCATTATTTGTCAAAGGGTGTGTGTGTATGTCTGTGTCCATGTGTAATTAAATGAATATTCATAAAATCTTTCAACAGAGAGGCAGGAAGACAGTTATTAAAAATATGAGCCCACAATCCCAGAAATAATTGGTCTGATTCTATGTAATTAGGTAGAGCTAATTCAAATATTACGTTTTTGCACATCAAGATGTTGAAGTTCATGAAGAATAGTGTTTTCTTTTTCCTTTTTTATCACAACTGGAGTGTAGTTTCCAAGAACATTTGGTCTTCCTTCTGTATTCATAGCTCCTAGCACAGTGCCTTTTTATTTATCAAAAAAGGTTTTTGATAAATACTTGTTCAATGGAAAAATAAACAGAACAAGTGGCTACTTTACAGCCTTCAGCACACACTGCTGATCTGAAATCAGCAAAAAAAAAAAATAGTTTTGGGTTTTTTGTTTGTTTGTTTGTTTGTTTTGAGGCAGGGTGTCACTGTTGCCCAGGCTGGAGTGGAATATAGTGTGGTGTCATCATGGCTCACTGAAGCCTCAAACTCCCCATGTTCAGGAGATCCTCCCATCCTAGCCTCCCGAGTATCTGGGAGTCCAGGCACACACCAACACACCCAGCTAATTTATGTACTTTTTGTAGAAACAGGGTTTTGCCATGTTGCCCAGGCTGGTTTCCAACTCCTGGGCTCAAGCAATCTTCCTGCCTTGTCCTCCCAAAATGCTGAGATTACAGGGATAAGACACCACACTGGGCCAAGAATTCTTTCAGTCCTAGAATCCACAACGGAATCTTATATGTTTGAAGGAGTCTGGCTTAGAAAAATTTCTCATCTAAGCAGGAAAAAGCAGTCATTCCTTTCCAAACCATGCATATCCCCCAAAGTCTCGAGCAAGTACCCACGATTTTCTGGAGGTATAGTGTTTCTAGACATAACAACAACAATGTTAACAAAAGCTAATATCTACTGAGTGCTCGTTATTGTCTCAAGCACTATGTTAAATGCTTCCCATGCATTTTTTTTTTGTTTAATTTCCCCTTAACACTGAAGTGAGTTTTATTATGTATGGCCCCATGTTCTGAATGAGGAAATAAAGTTTTAAAAGTGCAGGCAACTTGCCAAGAGTTATATCAGTGAACAGCAGAGCCAGTATTCAGACAGTAGTCGTAGGGGAAGAAAAGAAATTGGACATTTCAAAAGTACTTAGTAGAAATAATCCACAGAAATAGATAGAAAGTAATTTATAAAGAGACAATATAATGTCACCATTGTGTACTCTAAGAAAATCTCTTTGAGTATGTTAATTACTCTCAGTAAAAGGTCTTTTTTATTATAGGAGCTCAGCATTTCAGTGCAATTCTTTCTGGGACTAGAAAGAGACAAGCCAAGCCACACTGATAATTCTCTGAATAAAATCTGAGGTGAGACTTGAATTTATCTGTGATTTTTTTTTTTAAAAAAGGAAGACGCAAACATGCATACAAAGATAACATATTTTAAAACAGAGGAAAACAGAGTCACATTGGTGTTTGGGTTTATTATTTTTCTAGTAGATGTGTTCTTGTCTATATGGATATGACTGGTGTGCAATTTTATGTACTCACTGAGATCTTTATTTCATGTATTCTAAAAAAATGGACTTGAGGTATGGGTTTTGGGTAAGTCTCGCAAAGGCAAATGTTAGTTATCACGTCTGCATGCCCAAATATCTTTAAGAACTGATTTTAATGGGTTTTCAAGGTCTTTTTATTTTCCTTAGGGTGACTTTATTTATTAAAAGATAAATAAAAATGACTATCACTTATTTCCATGCATTGATTGAGGTAAAAAGAATAAAGCAACTATTCCCGGTAATAAAATCTCTAAGTGTATCCTGAGTTCTCTCTCTCTCAGTCAAGATTGGTTGCAAATGTGGACCAGATTAGTTTGATCTCCTTCAAAAGCAGTTCATTGATTATACAATATGATCACTTCCATGATATATTTTTAGCTTTTCTCAGAAAAACAAACTTCCAAGAAAGAGCATTAGAAATCTACTGTAGAATTTCATTAAGACAAGTGTCCTCCTTAATGTAGTTGCCTCAAGAAGTGCATGAAAGACAGTTTACTTTTAGACTGGGCGCAGTGACTCACGTCTGTAATCCCAGCACTTTAGGAGGCTGAGGGGGAAGATCACGAGGTCAGGAATTCTAGACCAGCCTGGCCAACGTGGTGAAACCCAGTCTCTGCTAAAACTACAAAGGTTACCCAGACAGGGTAGCATGTGCCTTTAGTCCCAGGTACTTGAGAAACTGAGGCAGGAGAATCGTTTGAACTCCAGAGGCAGAAGTTGTAGTGAGGTGAGATTGCGTCGCTACATTACAACCTGTTCAACAGAGTGAGACTCCGTCTCGAAAAAAAAGAAAGAAAGAAAAAAGACACATGGATGAATGGATGAATAAAGTCTGTTTTTTGAAATAACTAAAAGCATATCACTGTACCCTTCAATTTACAGTCATCTCATACCCAAAGCAGTAGTTAGATTTCTTAATACAACTCCTAGAAAAGGAGGGACTAATTTAAAATATCATGAGGTTCATTCTGCAGCATGCAACCTAGCAAAATCCTTTCCCTGATTTTTCAAGCCAGAGAAGTTCAGATCAGGAGGAAATAAAAAACACAAAAACTTACCATCTGCATCTTCTGAATAATTGCCTTTGGGATCCACTGTGGTGACATCTAGAAGAGTTAGAGCAAGTACTAGTCAATTGTTCATGCCCATTATTTGTCAAGGGGTGTGTGTGTGTGTGTGTGTGTCTGTGTCTGTGTGTAATTAAATGAATATTTATAAAACCTGTCAAGTTTTTATAGGCAAGAGGCAAGAGGCCAGTTATTAAAAATATGAGCCCACAATCCTAGAAATAATTGGTCTGATGCTATGTAATTAGGTAGATCTAATTCATATATTATGTTTTGCACATCAAGATGCTGAAGTTCGTGAAGAATACATTTTTCGTTTTTTATTCCAACTGGAGTATAGTATCCAAGAACATTTGGTTTTCCTTCTGTATGCATAGCTCCTGGCACAGTGCCTGCCACAAAGTATGTTTTTGATCAATACTTGTTCAGTGGAAAAATAAACAGAACAAGTGGCTCCTTTACAGCCTTCAGCACACACTGCTTACCTGAAATCAGCAAAAAAAAAAAAAACAAAAAACAGCAAAAACAAAAAACAAACAAAAAAACAAAAAAAAAACCTAAATAATTGTGTGATTTTTTTTTTTTTTTTTTTGAGGCAGCATCTCACTGTCGCCCTGGCTGGAGTGGAGCATAGTGTGGTGTCATCATGGCTCACTGAAGCCTCAAACTGCCCAGGGTCAGGTGATCTTCCCATCTCAGCCTCCGGAGTATCTGGGAGTACAGGCACACACTGCCACGCCCAGCTAATTTATGTACTTTTTGTAGAGACAGGGTTTTGCCATGTTGCCCAGGCTGGTTTCGAACTCCTGGGCTCAAGCAATCTTCCTGCCTTGTCCTCCCAAAATGCTGGGATTACAGGGATAAGACACCACACCCGGCCAAGAATTCTTTCAGTCCTAGAATCCACGACGGAATCTTACAATGTTTGAAGGAGTTTAGTTTAGAAAAATTTCTCACCTAAGCAGAAAAAAGCAGTAATGCCTTTTGAAGTTATGCATATTCCCAATGTCCCCAGCAAGTACCCATGATTTTTCTGGAGGTACAGTGTTTCCGGACATAACGACAACAACATTAACAAAAGCTTATATCTACTGAGTGTTCATCATTGTCTCAGGCACTATGTTAAATGCTTCCCATGCATTTTTTGTTTAATTCCCCAATAACACTGAAACGAGTTGTATTATGTATGGCCCCATGTTCTGAATGAGGAAATAAAGTTTAAAAAGTGCAGGCAACTTGCCGAGAGTCGTATCAGTGAACAACAGAGCCAGTATTCAGACAGTAGTCATAGGGGAAGAAAAGAAATTGGACATTTGAAAAGTACTTAGTAGAAACAATCCACAGAAATAGATAGAAAGTAATTTATAAAGAGACAATATAATGTCACTATTGTGTACTCTAAGAAAATCTCTTTGACTATGTTAATTATTCTCAGCAAATGCTCGTTTTCATTATAGGAACTCAGTATTTCAGTGCAATTCTTTCTGGGACTAGAAAGAGATGGGCCAAGTCACATTGATAGTTCTCTGAATAAAACCTGAGGTGAGAGTTGAATTTATCTGTGATGTTTAAAAAAAAAAAAAAAAAAAGGAAGACGCAATCACGCAAACAAAGACAACATATTTTAAAACAGAAGAAAACAGAGTCACATTGGTGTTTGGGTTTATTATTTTTCTAGTAGATGTGTTCTTGTCTATACGGATATGACTCTGGTGTGCAATTTTATGTACTCACTGAGATCTTTATTTCATGTATTCTAAAATAATGGACTTGAGGTATGGGTTTTGGGTAAGTCTCACGAATGCAAATGTTAGTTATCATGTCCGCATGTCCAAATATCTTTAAGAGTTGACTTTAATGGGTTTTCAATGTCTTTTTATTTTCCTTAGGGTAACTTTATTTATTAAAAGATAAATGAAAATGACTATCACTTATTTCCATGCCTTGATTAATTGAGGTAAAAAGAATAAAGTAACTATTCCCGGTAATAAAATCTCTAAGTGTATCCTGAGTTCTCTCTCTCTTAATCAAGGTTGGTTGCAAATGTGAACCAGATTAGTTTTATGTCCTTCAAAAGCACTTCATTGATTATATAATATGATCACTTCCATGTTATATTTTTAGATTTTCTCAGAAAAACAAACTTCCAAGAAAGAGCATTAGAAATCTACTGTAGAATGACATTAAGAGACGTGTCTTCCTTAACATAGTTGCCTTGAGAAGTGCATGAAAGACATTTTACTTTTAGACTGGGCGCAGTGACTCACATCTGTAATCCCAGCACTTCGGGAGGCTGAGGCGGGTGAATCACTTGAGGTCAGGAGTGCAAGACCAGCCTGGCCAACTTAGTGAAACCCAGTGTCTACTACAAATACAAAGATGACCCAGACATGGTGGCGTGTGCCTGTAGTCCCAGCTACTTGAGAAACTGAGGCTGGAGAATGGCTAACTAGGGAATCGGAGGTTGTGGTGAGTGGAGATCACGCCACTGCACTCCTGCCTGGTCAACAGAGCGAGACTTCCTCTCAAAAAAAAAAAAAAAAAAAAAAGGCACATGGATGAATAAAGTCTGTTTGTTGAAATAATTGAAAGCAAAACACTATACCCTTCAATTTACAGTCGTCTCAAACTCAAAGCAGTAGTTAGGTTTGTTAATACAACTCCTGGAAAATGGGGGACTAATTTAAAGTATCACTAGGTTCATTCTGCAGCATCCAACCTAGCAAAATCTATTCCCTGATTTTTCAAACTAGAGAAGTTCAAAAGTTAAAATGATCAGGAGGAAATAAAAAAGCACAAAAACTTACCATTTGCGTCTTTTGAAAAACTGTCTTTGGGATCCACTGTGGTGACATCTAGAAGAATGAAAGCAAGTACTAGTCAATTTTTCATGCCCATTATTTGTCAAGCTGTGTGTATGTGTGTGTGTGTGTGTGTGTGTGTGTGTGTGTGATTAAGTGAATATTTATAAAACCTGTTACAGAGAGGCAGGAGGACAGTTACTAAAAATATGAGCCCACAATCCCAGAAATAATTCGTCTGATTCTATGTAATTAGGTAGATCTTATTCATATATTATGCTTCTGCACATCAAGATGTTGAAGTTCGTGAAGAATACTTTTTCCTTTTTTATCACAACTGGAGTGTAGTATCCAAGAACATTTGGTTTTCCTTCTGTATGCATAGCTCCTAGCACAGTGCCTGCCACAAAGTACGTTTCTGATAAATACTTGTTCAATGGAAAATAAAGAGAACAAGTGGCTACTTTACAGCCTTCAGCACACACTACTGACAGGAAATCAGCAAAAAGAATAATTTTGGATTTTTTTTTTTTTTTGAGGCATGGTCTCACTCTCACCCAGGCTGGAACGGAGTATAATATGGTGTCATCACGGCTCACTGAAGCCTCAACCTCCCCAGGGTCAGTCGATCCTCCCATGTCAGCCTCCTGAGTAGCTGCGAGTACAGGCACTCACTACCATGAGCAGCTAATGTTTGTATTTTTTGTAGAGACAGGGTTTTGCCATGTTGCCCAGGTTGGTTTCAAACTCCTGGACTCCAGCAATCTTCCTGCCTTGTCCTCCCAAAATACTGGTATTACAGGAATAAGATACCACACCAAGAATTCTTTCAGTCCTAGAATCCACAACAGAATCTTACGTGTTTGAAGGTGTCTAGTTTAGAAAAATTTCTCATCTAAGCAGAAAAAAGCAGTCATTTCTTTTGAAATCATGCATATTCCCAACATCCCCAGCAAGTACCCATGATTTTCTGGAGGTACAGTGCTTCTGGACATAACAACAACAACATTAACAAAAGCTAATATCTACTGAGTGCTCGTTAGTGTCTCAGGCACTGTGTTAAATGCTTCCCATGCATTTTTTGTTTAATTTCCCAATAATACTGAAGTGAGTTGAATTATGTATGGCCCCATGTTCTGAATGAGGAAATAAAGTTTAAAAAGTGCAGGCAACTTGCCAAGAGTCGTATCAGTGAATAGCAGAGCCAGTATTCAGACAGTAGTCGTAGGGGAAGAAAAGAAATTGGACATTTGAAAAGTACTTAGTAGAAATAATCCACAGAAATAGATAGGAAGTCTTTTATAAAGAGACAATATAATGTCACCATTGTGTACTCTAAGAAAATCTCTTTGAGTATGTTAATTATTCTCAGCAAATGCTCGTTTTTATTATAGGAACTCAGCATTTCAGTGCAATTCTTTCTGGGACTAGAAAGAGACAGGACAAGTCACATTGCTAGTTCTCTGAATAAAACCTGAGGTGAGAGCTGAATTTATCTGTGATGTTAAAAAAAAAAAAAAAAAAAAAAAAAGGAAGAAGCAAACATGCAAATAAATACAACATATTTTAAAACAGAAGAAAACAGAGTCGCATTGGTGTTTGGGTTTATTATTTTTCTAGTAGATGTGTTATGGTCTATATGGATATGACTCTGGTGTACAATTTTATGCACTCACTGAGATCTTTATTTCGCGTATTATAAAAAAATGGACTTGACATATAGGTTTTGGGTAAGTCTCATGAATGCAAATGTTAGTTATCATGTCTGCATGTCCAAATATCTTTAAGGGCTGACTTTAATGGGTTTTCAATGTCTTTTTATTTTCCTTAGGGTGACTTTATTTGTTAAAATATAAATGAAAGTGACTATCACTTATTTCCATGCCTTGATTGATTGAGGTAAAAAGAATAAAGTAACTATTCCCGGTAATAAAATCTCTAAGTGTATCCTGAGTTCTCTCTCTCTCAATCAAGGTTGATTGCAAATGTGGACCAGATTAGTTTTATCTTCTTCAAAAGCACTTCATTGATTATATAATATGATCACTTCCATGTTATATTTTTAGCTTTTCTCAGAAAAACAAACTTCCAAGAAAGAGCATTAGAAATCTACTGTAGAATGACATTAAGAGACGTGTCCTCCTTAACGTAGTTGCCTTGAGAAGTGCATGAAAGACAGTTTACTTTTAGACTGGGCGCAGTGACTCAACGTCTGTAATCCCAGCACTTTGGGAGGCCAAGGCAGGCGGATCACTTGAGGTCAGGAGTTCGAGACCAGCCTGGCCAACATGGTGAAACTCCATCTCTACTAAAAGTAGAAAAATTAGCCAGATGTGGTGCCAGACACCTGTAATTTCAATTCTCGGGAGGCTGAGGCAGAAGAATCGCTTGAACCTGGGAGGTGGAGGTTGCCGTGAGCTGATATCACACCATAGCACTCCTACCTGAGCTACAAGAGAGAAACTGTCTCAGAAAAAAAAAAAAAAAAAAGACATTTTACTTTTAGAATTTAGTGTGAAGTAAAACACATTGTGAAACTGTAACTTCTCTCCCATGTAGTATTCACTGCCCTGGAATTTACTATACTTTTTATTTTGCCGTGATCACTGGAAAAATCAGAACACTTATGCACAGTGGTAAGACTACCCTCAAGCTTTGCACTTTTGTCTTCTCTTGGTGTCTCAGCAAAGGAAATAGAAAATTGGGACTCTAGGGGCTGGGCACCCTGGCTCACGCCTGTAATCCCAGCACTTTGGGAGGCTAAGGCGGGCAGATCACCTGAAGTCGGGAGTTCGAGACCAGCCTGACCAACATGCAGAAACCCCGTCTCCACTAAAAATACAAAATTAGCCGGGCGTGGTGGTGCATGCCTGTAATCTCAGCTCCTTGGGAGGCTGAGGCAGGAGAATCACTTGAACCCGAGAGGCGGAGGTTGCAGTGAGCCGAGATTGTGCCATTCCACTCCAGCCTGGGCAACAAGAGCGAAACTCCGTCTCAAAAAAAAAAAAAAAAGAAAAGAAAAGAAAAGAAAATTGGGACTGTTTTTATAACTCCATTTCAGTTAGTTTTAGGAAAGGCTATACCTAATACAGTAAATACACGAATGAACATATCCATGCTACCGTGTTGAAAGCAAGCATTTTCCCTGCCATTGTTTCTTTTGCACTCCATCATAGTCCCAGGAGAAAGTCAAGGCAACTGTCCAAATCACATTTGATCATTGCAGAAACTCAGGATCTGAAAAGCTAAAGACTTACCCTAGAAATTTGGAATGGTACATGGCGAAGGTCTTCAAATATTTTGTTAATGCTTTTTCCCCCACTGGCTAAAAAGGACTTGTTAACCACAGGAAAATGCACAAAATGAGTCCTTTTCATGACCACTCTGGAGCTGTTGGACTGTTATGTTCATATTCAGGATGTTGACATACAGTGAGGGACTGGACAACTGGCCCAGGGCACGTTCAGCCCTCTGCCCAATGGTCTAGACGTGTACAGAGTCTGCATCAAAGGCACTGTTTGGGGACCTCATGCATGAATCATGAGTGACCCTGAGTGATCAGGAAGCGAGTATATTCGCTGCACTGTCATGCATCCTCCTTAGGACAGTAACTCATCCTTGTCTGCTCATCCACATTTCCACTAAGCCTGGCGTGTCATAATTGTACAATAAATGTTTATTGAGATGCATTCACCAATGGTAGGAAATGCATTTATTATGGAAAATGGAAAAATGTTTGTACATGTAAACCTTACCAACCTTTAATTATGAAATGTTACTTTATGGTGACATGTAAACTGAAAATCTGAAAAGCACAAGGCCCCCATAAAACTACAGTGGCCAAGACTATTTTATGTTTTGTAGAGCCTTGCTCTGGCTTCTTCAGATAAACATCATTTTGTCAACAATGAACCCATGGTTTGTAGGTTAAACTTTGTGGGTAGCAAGATTGAGGTGAGTTACTCTCCTGCTTGGGCAGAACATTCCTGAAAGACGTATACTTGTTTTTATTTCCCGATCAAGTAAAGTCATCAAAAGAAAGGAGAACTCTTTTTGAGCATTTACCACTTGCTACATTGCTAGATGCTTCCGTGTAGGTTGTTTCCTTTAATCCATCTAACAACCCTAAAAACCAGCATGTGACTTTCTTATTTTGGATAATGGAGCTGAGGCTGAGAAACCTTCAGTAACTTTTTCAATTTCGTTTTCTCCAAACCCATACCATTTTAATTCTATAGAAAAGTAGCAGGGCATTTACGCTACCATTAAATGTAACAACATCTAAGAAAGATTTATGTTTGTTTTTCATTAATTACTGAAATAAAAAATGCAGGATTCCCTTTCAAAGACGTGTTCGGAGAGATGATATGTGTAAACACATACCTGTCTTTATTGGAGGAAAGATAATTTCTTGATCAACTCCATTTCTATTATTCTCGTGTCTGACGATACATCTGTGCTCTTTATCCAGTGACTTTTCTGGCACCGTTAACCAGCTAAATTTCATGTATGTGTTGTTAGTCTTCATGGTGTTCCCCTCTTGGGATTTCAGAACCTTGTTGCTGTTCTTTTCTTGCCAATGTATCTCAATAACATCTGGGAAAAATTTCTCAAGAAGACAAAGGTATGTTCCAGCCTTGTGGAGGTTTGTTTCAGCAATGGAAGGAAGAAAAATAGTGGGCTTGGGTGAAACATCTGCATCAAGGTGTTTATCTATGGGGAGAAATGGAATATGAATTTAAAAGAATCATGAGAGAAACACACACATTGCACGGTTTGGAATGGCCTAGTACATCACAATAAAAAGAGACAGTGCCATTGAGCTAGTGTCCACCGGGGCCTTTCATCCAGGATAGGCTGCACAGTACTTGTTACTGTGCTTATTTTACAGAGGTTGAAAAGAGGATCAAAAAGTTAAATAACTTGCCAAAAGTCACAGCTCTCAAGTGTCAGATGCTGGATGAACATCTGGCCTTTGTTTATTCTGCACATGCTGTGAGGGTGTGTGATTTTTAACTGCCTCCTACCAAGGCTTCCAATGTTCACGAACATATTTATTTTATTTTTATCTCTTTTGTTTCATCATATGAAGCATGTTTTCAAGGTGGATGGCAGGGGAAAGGGGAAAAGATCAGATAACTTCAATGATCTTTCTACAGATGAAACTCTGGTCCTTTTCCCACTTCCCTTTTCCATCCTTTGTAACTTATGTTCTTTAGCCAAATAACACACATTCTCACGTTTCACAATTTTGTGTCCTCCCACTCTTCATTTCACTGATTCTGCAATGCACCATATTTATCTGATTATTTATCTTATTTTCCATATGAATAAATGTCAGAATTTTAAAATATTATTATTTATCTTATTTCCCATATGAACAAATGTCAGAATTTTTTTGTTTGTTTGTTTGTTTTTTTTTGAGACTGCAGCTTGCTCTGTCACCCGTGTTGGAATGCAGCAGCACAATCATGTCTCACTGTAGCCTCAACTCCCCAGGCTCAAGTGGTCCTCCCACCTCAGCCTCCCACATAGCTGGGACTACAAGTATGCACCACCATGCCTGGCTAATGTTTGTTTTTTGTAGAGACACATTTCACCATATTGACCAGGCTGGTTTCAAACTCCTGTACTCAAGTCATCTGCCTGCCTCAGCCTCCCAAAATGCAGGGATTATAGGTGTGAGCCACCATGCCTAGCCATTTTGTTCACTTTTATTTTTAACAATACATAGTCACTTGTTTTAATCAGAATCTACTTCCACGTGTACGTACTGTCTATCGAGTTAACCATGTAGCTTCAATGTATATACCATGAGCAGTCCTCCTAGTTAATATCTAACTTTATATAACATCTCAATTTCACATCTGCACCCTCCAAGTTTTGGGGTGGAGCAATATTTACAGCTGTACCTCCAGATTATTCACCATCTCTTGAATTTAGAAACAAAATGGCAACATTTCCAAAACTCTTATTTAAATGTTTTATTGATTATTTTCAGAAATCCTCTCGAGTTCATCTTATCCAATAATACACTTATCAAAATTTTGTTTTCCTTTAGAAAACATACACCAAAAGCAGGTTTTATTTTGGAATTTCATTTGAATTTTAAGAATGACTAAGAATGCACCAGGGGTGTATTTTTTTATATTGGTTTTTATATAAATTTACCCCATTAATGAGAAGATCTATGTAAATCAGTATATCTCTATTTTGACTCCTTATGTCTCTCTTAGAATTTGTGTCTGTTCTCTATATTACTTAACTGTTTTAAAGCTCCACTATTCTCTTTGTCTTAGCCTGCTGAATAAAATCTATATGTAATTGCTCTATTAAAATCATGGTTCCAGCGCTTCTTATATGCATAGGGTCAAGATATATAACAGAGCATTATACGTTTACAAAGGCATATCACTTGAATCTGGAATGTTAACGGGTTCTACATTTATTTTTAATCTAATAAGTGAAATTAGAAATGTTACAATTCTTTCTAATTTGATTTCGAATTGAAATTCCAATGCTTTGGCTGATGTGAAGTGAGTTTGATAATTGAACAATTTCTTAAGAAAATAAGAATTAAATTTCTCATTTGAGAAGAAAAGAAAACAATCTTGATAATTTCTGTTTCTGTAGCAAAGTTTCTGATTTTCATACAAAATTAATAAACATATACAGTAATATTAATTTTTGAGCATGCTATAAATTTAATTAGGCATAATGTGCTTACTTTAATTTCATACTCTTTGCTTTTAGTGCAAATAGTATTTTATTTGTTATACTTGTGAGACAGTGTATGTTTTTCCACTATATAGTTTGTTTCTAATTTTAAAAGCATGTTATAAAATATAAGATTAATTTTTCAATTGTACATTATATTTCTATAATTTTAGTCTCTAGTCAATATATTTTCCAATCTAATTTTCATCCTAGGAACTAGTGTCTCTTCATGGAAATACTTCTAATTCATTGTACTAAAGAAATTAAAAATCAAATGATAAACTTGGACATTTTTTGTATGGTACCAAGGCATTCATTGCCTCTTGTCCCCTTTCTTTAGCTAGATTCTTTTTCATTCTTTTCAGGACAAAATGAATCTGGAACTTCCATAACTTCCTCAACGTAATAGTTAACAAATCATTAAATAGCATACTTCATTATACATGGTAAGGGCCGATATTCTGAATGATCCTCTCACATGATTTTTAAAAATACTACTTTTAAAATGTACATATTAAGAGTGTTTTTTATGGTCAAGTATGATAAGTTTTTACTTCAATCATAAATAGAATTTATATATTTTATTTATTTAAAATGATAAACCTGCTGGATTCATCTATGCACATTTATTTGCATAATTAAATAGTATATCTGAGTTAAATTGCCTAAGTTGTTTGTAGTTTATTAAAATACAGCATTGCAAATTTACCAAGTATCAACTACATTTTCTATAGACGGCATGATATATTAAATCTACATATGGGTATTTATTTCAGTGTTCTCTGTTTCTTATTTTTTCATTAGATAAATAGTTATAGCCATTTTATATTTAAATATGTATTTCAGATTTATGATGTTTCCATCTGGATTTAATTGATTTGATATCTTGACCATTTTTGGTAAGATTTTAACCTTTTTTTTCCTGAGACATAGGAACAGAACCCTAAACTAATTGGCTACAAATCTTAGGACCAATATGTTGGTGTTAGAAATGGTATCAATTAAGATAAAGGATTAAGTAAAGCACATAGAACAACAAAAATAAAAAATAAACATCTTAATGCAATGTTTTTGCCAAGTGATTAAAAATCTTCTAACAAGAAATGAATCGGTAAGTTCAATTTTTGTGTGTGTGAGCCGATGTTGAGATAACCTTCCATTTGAGCAGTTAGAAGTACAGCTGAATTCTCTGGAGAAATTTTATGGGCTGAGAGCAACTCTCCATAGTAGATCCCATTCTCTCTTTACACGTGAATCCAGAGAACATTTGTTGGGCACCTATTTTGGGTTGGACAATGTGCTGGGTACTAAATTCACACTATCTTGTGCAATTCTTATACAACCCTGCTGAATTCATACTGTTATCCCATTTTATGGATTAGAAAACTGAGGTCAGAGAATAATCACTCAATTTCACTAAGCAGTGAGTGGTGGAGGCAGAGTTCCAGGTGGACCTGACTCCAACACACAAGAGCCAACATCTCTTGTGACCATCAGAGATGAATATGTGTCCACTTTATGGAGTCTATCACAAACTTACCTGTCATAATACATTTTGTCTCAGGGTCAAACATTTTAATGGTATCATTTCATACAATATATATGAGCACTTTATAGAAGTCCATATATGCACAAAGGCAAATCCTATTATGATATTTGTGCAATGTTATCTGTGTTCTCTTTTAGTATGAGCATTTGTTTTAAAGTCTCTCCTGAGATTTCTACATCAAATCCCCATCTAATTCCTCTCTTTTCTAAACATTATTACATTATTCCATTGTAATCATTTGTTGCCTTCCCTCTATTACCTTGGAAATATTGTATTCTTCTGATACTTACCTGTGACAACAAGTGTTGTTCCACTGCCAAAGAGTTTCTTATAATAATTCCACAGTGATTCAGTCCATATCAAAAACTCTAATTCAGTTTCTCTGAGTTCTTCAAATTCTGGTGGTCTGGGATTCTCAAAAGACCAGGGTTCCAGTGCTGGTTAATTTTGCTCGTAACAAGCTCTGTTGCTTCACAAATCAAATAACTTAAAGCTTTTGGTGTTTTATTTATCTAAAAACAGTGATGTTAGTGGAAATCAGTTCAACATCACTACCAGCACTGAAGTGAGACCAAAATGAAACAAAATATAAAAAAGCAATTTGATTAAAATGTTATAGATCCCAGTGCAGTGGCTCATGCCTATAATCCCAGCACTTTGGGAGGCTGAGGTGGGAGGATTGCTTGAGCTCAGAACTTCGAGGCCAGCCTGGGCAACATGGTACCTAGTGAGACTCCATCTTTACTAAAAATAAAAAAAGCATTAGCAGAGTATGATGTGCATGCCTGCAGGCCCAGCTACTCAAGAGGCTGAGGCAAGAGGGTTACTTGAGCCTAGGAGTTTGAGGCTGCAGTGAGCCTTGATCACACCACTGCACACCCACCTGGGCAATAGGGGAAGACCCTGTCTCAAAAAAAAAAGTGCTATGGAAATATAAGAGGCTATGATGATAATGTCATCATCATTGTTATGATTAGCAATCTGTTTGCTATGATTGTGTGCCTTGACATGACATTTTAACCCTATAGGACCAAGCATTGCCTTTACTAAAAAAAAAATTCAGTGTTTTGGAGTGTGGCGGTTAAATCTGTAGCAATTAAGCAGGAAGAATCACTTCTTTCTCAGTTCCTCTGTTTGCATTCCACTTTGCTCTGACATGCCTGGGATTCTGAAAGCCATCGTCCCCATCATCACAAGAAACATGCCTTCCACACGCCCAATCTTTAATAGGCTATCATTTGCCTTACCTGCCATGTTAAGAAAATCAAAGGGAACATTGGCTAAAGTCTAATATACGCAGTCAGTGTATGGAAATTCTTCACTTTTGTTTTTCGAAACAAGTGAGGCTTTTTCTAATCAGCAGCACAATTTATTTGCCTTCCAAGTTTCACCAGAAACTTCAACCTCAAACTGACTTCTGTCTAGTTCATGCCAAAGTCCAGCTTAAAACACCTGGCTTGACCCTTCAAGGCAGAATGGCAGAGAATGGCAGGAGGCCTGGTCCTCAAATCCATCTTTCTGTTGTCACTTTAGATCACTACATGTTATCTGCCTGACCGTGTCTGCTGAGCATCACCATCTGTGCATCTCATTAAATGTCAGGCTGCCCATAGCACTGATCCAGTGGTAATATGCAATGGGTTTGTTTCATGACCATTCCTTTCATTTTCCAAAATGGAATTTGAAGGCAATGGCCCACTCTTCCATTTCCTTCTAAAGGACTCATGCATTGAAGTCCTTTTCTAATTTAGTAATAGAAAAAAATACGATATTTGAAAAGGTGATGTGCTTCTTTTTATCAGTTAGTAAGAAGTATGTATTCCCCTACCTTTTTCTCCTTCCTTTGATCATAAAATTTTAACCTGTGCTCCTTGCTAGGTAATCACAGGCCTTTTTCCTTCTTTCCTTAGAGCTTTAGATCATCTGCATTAATTTAATGGTCTGACTGTGCTTGTGTGTTTTAACTTAGGTCTTCTCAAATAGATTTTGGAACAGGTAGCTTAAATAAATAACAAATAGTTTGTGCATTCAGCATGTTTCTCTTTTGTCCTCAGGAGTAGATTGTTTTGTAAGGTCAAGCTCAAATAAAACACAAGGAATGGAGAACACGTTTGGAAATCCTAGCTCTGTGATAGGGATACCTACATACTAAATTTAGATAGACGGGAAGTGCCAGACCATAAAATGAGGCTTTCTTTCCCAAAATTTTCTCTCACAACATGGGGAGGTGCCTTGTGTATGGTACAGTCTTTGTGTAACGTCTCATATTAAAAAATGTTCTTCTAATACTCTGCTTTGATCCAGAAGGATGAACTGGACGAAATACCACATGAAATGAACTCAGTGAATGCTAGCTTTGGCAATGGTAACAGGAAATAAAAGCAAAGATATTTATCATGAATTTGGTCATTATTACTTGGGGCGAAAGTCCTTGTAGTTTTTACTTACTTCATACAAATATAGAATAACAGAATAAATCGGAAAAAATAATTTCCTTTCCTTTTGTGAGTGGATAATTGTTTCTTAGAATAAAATATTCAGGGACACCATCGGAAGGGGATTCCACAGTGGAGACTGAGACCTGAGATGCCTTAGAAAGTTGCTCTAAAGTAGTTGCTTTAGATGCACGTGAAGCATCAAAACAAAATCTTTAATGAAATATAAGGGCCACAAAGCCAATATTTCTCAACTGTAGGCATAATCCAGTTAGGAAATTAAATGTTGTAAGTAGACATTTGACTGTTTTACCTGTATCCCTATAAATTTACACATTCAAGTTGGGGGAGGGGAAAATACATATTTTCTTAAACTTGTATAAATTTTCTCTGGAAAATGGAAAATCACCTTGTATTCAGGCACATCATATTTGAGATAATACGTAAAACATTCTAATTACTTTTAGAAGCAGGTACAATTAGTCTTTTAGAAATAGAAAGCATTTTACAAATAGTGATATTTGTTCTGAAGTGAGCTGTTGAATAGATGGGGGTTGATACATTTGTCTTATTCCTGAGTGTATAAAGACCTCTCATGGGTAGTAACTTGAATTCCGGAAGAGGAATTAATATTTCTATCACCTACCAAGTGCCAGGCATTCTGGTGGGTAATTTCCATATTTAATTTCATGTAATATATACAACATTCCTTCGAGATAAATAATCTCCATTACTTTCATTGTACAGATCAACTTGAAATCGGAACTTTCAACTTTGCTCTGTTATTGCAAAATATTAAGGACATTTGAAAAGAATGTTTATGAAGTAGTGTGAAGTGAAAAAGCCAGATCTATTATTGTGTGTCTAGTATGATTCCAACTTTGTAAAGCAAACAAACAAAAGGCATGGGAAAAAGGTTGAAATAAAAGTATAACAAAATGATAATGTGATGAGGATCGATATCATACTTAAGTGCTTTGTTTATTTTTGTGTGTTTTCGAATTTTTCTATAATGAACCAGCATTTTTATGATTTGAATACTTGGTGAATCAAAACACACTTCCTAAAGGGCAGTTACATAGAAAGCGGCAGCCCCAGGAGTCATCGAGAAACAAAGTCCATACACTTTCCTGCACCGCACTTTCCTGAAAAATCACTTCTCAGAAAACTACAAATTATGACTTTGATTGCTACCATTCACATGAAATCAACCGGATGAAAGAGAATCAGAAGGTCACTTTTTAACTTATAAGTTAATTTCATCATACGATCTCAACCACTAAGGAAACAAAAATATATAATTGCTTTTACTTTTCTCAATGCTGTGTCAACTTTGTGAAAATTCTCTGAAAACTTTCATTTCAGTGTATGTAATAGACAGAGTATCTTTGTAAGATGTTTCTTCTCATCCAGGCAAAATGACATCTGAAGCTAACACATAATAAATGAACTTATTGGACTGATTTATAAAAAACAATAAATGCAGCTTATGTCACTTTTGAGTATGGTCACACTGTGAAATATTTCGACATTTGATATTAATCATGCTTCGGTCAAATTATCAAATATTTCACCTTCTGGTGACCAAATGAGGAGGGTAGCTGATTTTTTTTTTTTAACTTTTTTCCATTGGTTATTTTTAGAATTGAAGAAACGAAATCTCTGAACTAAACTTGTTCACAAAACTTTCAACAGAGAGATACCAGTGGAACATAAGGCCTCCGTCCTTTAGAGATTTGCAGTTGGTCTAAGCTCCTTAGTAATGTCTCCCATGCTAGGGCTGGAAAAGTTCTGACTCCCATGGCATGAACCAAGTCACCTGACCTCTCTGTAGGTTTCACCATGATTAGTGACCAAACCAGGAGGGAATCCTAGAAATCTGAGCCAGCTCCTGCATGCCTGCGTCACATCTCTTCTCTACATTGCAAAATTTGAAGAAAACTTACCTGTAATGATGAGCTTTGTTCAGGGGCCAAACACCTTGATTTTTTTGCCAAACTGTTGCCTACCACCTGAGAAGCCTTTATAAGAATCTCCCCTTATGTTTGTTTTAAAATTGTGCCAACATTTTTCAATATTTACATAAACGCATAAAAATTGGCCCTGCTGACATTAAGCCAAGACAAAGGTCAAACAAAATCACAAAAAACCTGAATGTAATCAGGAATTTAAGGACTGACCTCACCTTGCCCTGGGCACTTTGGGTTATGTACATTCTCTCCTTGTATCACATACATTGAAATGTCTGATTTTACCTTTTCTCATGATTTTGCCTGAATCTTCTAAATCTTCCCTAAAGAGTTTTCATGTATACACTTTGTCTTAAGTGTAATTTAGAGTTAATATTTCCTTAATTTTCAAAGAGAAACAATAATAGGATTTGTATGTTTGACATTTAATAAATAGATATTGAATATGATTTATAGGTATTTTGCGATTCGTATTTATGGAGGGATGGGTATCTAGATTGATTCTAATGTAACTTCTTTTGGGTCGGGCAGGGTGGCTCACACCTGTAATCCTACCACTTTGGGAGGCTAAAGCCGGTGGATTACTTGAGCTCAGGAGTTCAAAACCAGCCTGGCCAACACAGTGAAACTTCATCTCTACTAAAAATATGAAAAAACAAAATTAGCCAGGCATGGTGGCAGGTGCCTGTAATCCTAGCTACTCAGGAGGCTGAAGCAGAAGAATCTCTTGAACCCCAGAAGTGGAGGTTGCAGTGAGTGGAGATCGTGCCACTGCATTCCAGCCTGGGCGACAGAGCTAGACCATTCATAGGATCAAGTTACAGAAGAGGAAATATTCAAAGTATAAAAATATTACTTAATATTGCTAAATATCACATAAGGGTCCAGACCAGGCACTTGGAAACAGATAGCCTTAGCTAGATCCCAGTCGTTGCCACAGTGACTAGTCATGTGACTTTAAGAAAGTAACTGCTCTTCTCTAGGCCTCAGTTTCCTCATCTGTGAAATGGGACTAAGAGGATCTCCTGCATAGGTCTAATGAGGAAGGAGATAAAGCACTGAAACTATTTACCATGGTGTCTGGCTCTCATTAAACTATACTAATATTAATTTTCTCCTTAAAGGAACAATATCGGGTCATTTTATCAAATCTTTCCGCCAAACACAATACATAGATCTTATAAGCAATAACTGCTACATAAATTAAGAAAGAAAACAAGCTCATGAACCCAAGACCTTCTGCTTCTTGGGCAGCCACAGGCCAAAGAACAT